TGAAATGTCTTGAGAGATATGGGAGGGAAAATTTTGGGGTACAACAAGGTCGGTCAATAACAATTTATGTATCATACATATTAGAGATATGGTAGAAACTATAATCCTAAAACATGTAGCACAAGTAAAAACAAATGTGGATCAAGACTAAGTCTAAGAGATGAGATCATTACATCAACCAAGTCCTTTATAACACTTTGAGACAAACTTTACACCAATCCAAAGTACCTTGAGTGATCAAATGATCACTTAGAGGTAGATTTGAAATGACCAAAGTTCATCAAGTATCAATTCAAACTTGATTGAAACAAGATGATTCATTAATCATCTAATTGATCCAAAAAGAAAGAGAAGAAGAAAGAAATGAAGCAGAGATAACTTGAACAAGAAAGTAAATCCCAAATTGGATCAAAGTGTGGATCAAGTTATTATCAACATCATTCATCCATTTTGGGGGATTAGGATTTTCACCCCATCAACACTTAAGATCTAATGATGTTGATAAACCTTATGATCAAACAAGCTTAAATCCAAGGCTAGCCAGTCAACAAAGTCAAACAATAATTAAAATGCAATAAAACAAATAAAATGGATGTAAAAAGTATTTTTAAATGAAAATAAAAGGTAAAATATCAAAGTCCAATAAAAACATCAAATAAAAAACAAATAATACCTTAGAAAAATCATAAATGGTCTATAATATTTTTATAAAAATTTTGGTGATTTTTAGAAATGGAAAAATATTTTTAAACTAATTAAAATCAAGCTAAAAAAGAGAAAATCAAAGAAAAATAGCAAATAATAAAAATAAAATCCAAAAAATAAAAATCGGGTGAAGAAAAATCAGAGAGGATTTTAGAAAAAATTTTGAGATTTTTTGAAGTTAAAATGAATTTTCTATTAATTTTTTAAGTTAAATCAATTTAAAAAAATAAAATAAATGCTCAAAAAAATCTCAGACACTAGATCAGCCTCATTAATCTGAGGTGTATAATCCAAGAGCGCTGTAATTGAGAAACATGGTGGAAATTAACTTGAAAATAACATACGATCCAAAAAAGAAGATCCAATCAGATTAAAACAATTGGAGCACTTTCATTGGTTGAGATGAGACACCTCGTTATCTTCAACCTCCAGCCTCCAAAATTCATCCAAAATCACCCTAAAATCGTGAATCTCCAAATGGAAATTAGAGAGGCTGAGACTTATATCAACATATTTGTCTCTTCATCACCATCTCAACAATAACAACCACATAAATTTATTTAAACTGAGCTCATAAAAATTTGAAGAAAATCAGAAGAAATTTGAATTTTTTTTATTAAATTAAGTGCTTAAATCAAAATGAACACGATATCTAAAAGAAGCATGAGCTTCAGAAGATCAAGGACTACATATTAACAACTTGTTTGAAACAATTTGGGGAAGGAATCTACCTGAACGAAGTAAGGTGAAAAACTTTTGAAACTGGACTTGGATGGAGAGATTCAACACACCTTAAGGCTTGATTCCAATTGTGTTAGCTTTAGTGAAAATCAAGGAAGCTCAATGGATATAAAATTTGGATGGAGAAGCTCTGGAAATATGAAAATAAAGTGAGATAATTTGAAGGTTTATAATGAGTTTGGCATAATGTTCCTGGCTATCAAAAGCTTGTGAAATGAAGAAGGATAAGTCTCTATTTATAGCAAATGATGATGGAATGCTAAGAGAGGTGAGTTGATCAGCTATGATGCCAAATTGTGTGCACCCTCATCATGAAGAAAGTGTGACTTCCAAATGCTCAAAGCTCAGCTAATTCGTGTGTTTTGGATGTTAAACAACTTCTAGAAACTTGGTAAAATTTATTAGAAATGAAAATGAACCATAATTTAGCCTTTGATTAGAATTAGATTGATTCAAAAATCTGACCAAAGTGAGAACTTTAGCTTCAAGTAATCATTTTCAAACTTATAGGGCATCTTACACAAGAGGCTTTTTGATATTATTCTTTTTGCAATGTGTAGACATCATCATAAAGTTTACAATGTGCCAATAAAGGTTTGATTTGGATGCTTGTGTCAAAAGTTGTGACATGTTAAATTTGGCTAAAATTCTGACTTCACAAACTTGAAAAGTTCTAAGTTAAAATGCCATAAAATCATATGTAATTTATCAATGAATTCCATGGCCTTCCAAGCAAAATTAGATCATGACCATTGAATATAAATTGTAGATGGCATCAAGGAGGGAAATATTCAAAATGAATGAGCTTCAAATGATAAAAATTAAGCAATTTACGATTATTAAAAGTTGAGTAAAAATCACTTGGAAATAGGTCAAAATTTCACTAATTCCACAAATGACCTATAATGTCTTCAAACTTTTGATGGTCTTCCAAACATAATTGGATTTTGACTTTTAAATAGGTGTTGTAGAGGATATCAAGGAGAGTTATATGGAAAAAGAACCATTAAAAATGTTTAATAATGAATGAGTTATGGTCCTTTGAACGTTGACTTGAAAACTTGGCATATTAGGTCAAACCACTTTGCATAACTTGATACTTTTGATCTTTTCTTGCATTGTAAGGCATGATGATGTACATATGAAATTATAATGATGAATTGTTGGTTGAAATTTGATTAATCATAGCCATACTTGAGGTTAATTGATGATGAAGGCATGGAAATAAACACGTGAATCTTGGACTTTTCTTTGAGAAATAAGTAACCAAACTTGAATAATTCTTGATCAATTGATGATTGAATAATGTTTGAAGATGATATGACCTAAGATTATAGGCCAATATTTTATGCACAAGCCCTTGAGAATCCATGTTGACCATACTTTGACTTTGATCAGATGAAACCCTAGCTGAGAGAACTTGTTTGATTCACTTGGTTGACACTTGTGCTTGCAAAATAAACAAAGGGAAACAAGGTATATTTTTTGTATTTTGATTAGATGTTAGTAAAACATAAAGCATGTATAAACAAATGTACAAGATTCACAATATGGTGCTTGGTGATCTCTCAAGGATTGGAGCCCTAAAGATAGGAGAATGAGGTTACCATGCTTTTGAGATATTGATGAGATACAAAGATGCAAATGAGGTGAGATCTTAGGGGTAAAAATCAAGGTATGACGCCTCCTTTATAACTTTCATGTCGTTTTCACTGAATATTTATCTTGATTCTAACACTAAGCTCCACTTTTTACCTCTGGTAGTGAACAATAATCCTAACCTATAATTGGTTGCACTCACCAACACAATTATGGGTAGGTTTCTAGCTCTAACTAGCCCTATAATGTAATTCGATATAAACCAAATCTTTATTCAAGCTTCTCTTTATAATGGATGTTCGATTTGGCTTGTGCTAACATATTATTTTATATTATGTGGCGGGTTAAAGCTTATTTCCTTAGTGAAAAGACTTCTAGTAAGAATCATAATGTATAGAAGATAAATTTTCTTCATGACATTAATGTCCTAGACTAGTATGGTTTTTTTGTTAAAACACTTAATATAGCTCCATAGTGGCTCGTCCTTCAGTTGGTTTATGATGACAAGAATTTTCTTGGTTTTTTATTGTCAACGAGATACTACAAAGTGGGAAGTAAATTGACGACATAATTCTTCCCATAACAAGAAGGATTTGAGTCGCATACCTAAATACATGTCCTCATACCCCTTTGAGGGTTATGGAGAATAATATTCACTTCACATGGCCTTGATCACATCGGTAGTAAAGGCATCCGTCTACATTAATGTGACAACTATGATTGGGGATTATTCGAGCACGACTTTGAACCAAAATCGTCAGATCTTGAATGAACGACTCATTGTTAGTCATATGGGTTATAGTGTCGTTGACTGATATGACCAAAATGTTGTTTAGGAGTTGAATTGTTTGTTTAGCTATAACCCCTACCTGACATGCCAGTGATCTGACCATGTGAGCTGAGTTGGATCCATATGAATGATTCTAAAGGAAGACGTGCAAGTAAGAAGATGCTTTGAATTGTAATCGGTGTGAGTGGTACATGTAAACGCTTTAAAACTAAGTCATTAAGGAAAGACAAAATAGAGCTATTGGGATTTGAAGTTATGTACCTTACATTTTAATTTAAAGACTTTATATAATTATAGGAACACCTGAGTTATGGGACCATTATGACCATTGATCCTCCCTCGAATTTTTGTCACGAGTTCAATATTTCTTCCCCAATTTTGAATTATTTGTTAAAAAGTAATTTGTGAGTTATTTGAATATTGGATTAGACTTGACCTAGTGCATGACATAAAAATAGAGAAATATTTTATATTTCTCAAGAGTGTTTTTGTAGAGAAAAATAAAATAAATAATTATAATTAATATATTTTTTATTTTAAGAGTATTATAATACTATAAATTAGATTTTAAAATTTTATCTTAACCCTTCAAATCTTTTTCATTCAATACAATTTTTAATTCCACATTTTATAAAAACTATTTGAACACTCTTATTCAAATTAAAAGACTAACTTATTTTTCATTTATATTTTCTACTTCATCACCTTTTCAAACTTGCAAATAAAACCCAAGGGATAAAAAGGTAATTAAATCTAAAATTCATTATGTGCAAATAACCCTATTTGGACACCTGTTGTAATTTTTTCCATCAAACTTGTATTATGGACTTATGGCTACAATTCCATAAATTCCCCAACACAATGTCCTAAATGTTTTTATGAATTTTAAGGATATGGTCCCAATATTTTCACCCAACCTAACCGTAGCAGCTCCTCTAGCCATAAATAAATTAACTCAAATTAAAGGTACAAGTTTTAATATTAATAAAATAAACAACGTTAGTTTCTCAAAAATTTCATAAAGTAAACACGACGCGTTACAAAAGCGCGTGAATTTGAACCCATAGTAGCATAATTGTTCATAATTACCATAAACAAATCTCACAGTGCTTTTTCTTTTTCGTTTTCAAGTCAAAGTGTTATCATCGAGTTTGAGTTTTCAGCAATGGCAAAAGTAGAAGATGAACCGACATCATCGATTCAACAACAACAACAACAACCTTCATCGTACATATTGCTGTTGAATATCATGAGCAAAAGAAGAACATGGGCATGTCTTTTTTTCCTTGTTTACGGTACCCTTTTAACATCTTCATGGAATTTTCTGAAAACAATGCTTTCTTGGTACAATTCACAAGCTGAATCGTCGACCTCTGGTTGGCCTGCACTCTACGCATCTGTTCTTCTAGGAACTGTTTTTGGGTTGCTTTCAATGGTTGCTGCTTTGGTTGTTATGGTTCCTGCGGTTTTGGTGACGTGGATAACGGTGGTTGTTTTGTTGGCTTTTTTTGGAAAGCCTAGGAGGGTTTTGGTGGTTGAAGGGAGGAAGATTACTGGTGAGATTTTTAGTTTTGTTGTTAAGATTTTGTTGACAGAAGGGAATGTTGTTGCTGCTGTTTGTGCTGTTTTGGGGTATTTTGTGTTGGTTAGAAGGAACAGTGAATGATTTGGTGTTGTTTGTTCAGTTCTTGGTTTTGATTTTGATGAGATTTTGGAAGATATTGGTAGATAGGGTTTGTAAATCATGCTATAGCTGGTTGGTGTGATTTGGTAAAGTGTCTTAATTTTATCTGTTTTTTGTTTTTGTGACATAGTTTAGGAATCAAATTACATAGTTGAAATCAAACTTGAAAATGTTGTTTACATGCTAATCTGGTTTCTCATTATGGTAAATCCATGTTTTCTAGATTCATTAATTTTACTGATTTATGATTTGTCTTGTATTTCTATAGATAGATATGCACTTCTCACTGGTTGTTCTTCAATGTTTTCTGACTCATTCTGCAAACTTGTTCCTATTTTATTTTTTTAAGAAGAAAAATTCTTAACTTGGAACATGAAAAAGTGGAGTGAAAATATGTTAACTTGGTGAAGTGTACTATGAGTATTACTTTCTTCTTTTTTGGGTATAAATTTTGTTAGATGAGTTAGGTCCCGCAGATTCTTCAGGATCAAGTCAGACCTCAGATCTCAAGTCTTAAAGAGCGTTGAGAGATGTACTTACATATTACTTAAAGAGCGTTGAGAGATGTACTTACATATTCACCGGGATAAAGTAAAGGTACTTACATATTACCTAACAGCAACATAGCGACTAGCGGAAGTTGAGTCAATTTTTTACCAATACGGTTAATCTTCTTTGTATGTATATGAGTATTGCTATTTAAGTCAAATTAGGCAGCTGAGTAAACAAGACTTGACCAGGTTGGAATGTTGAGATTATGTTTGGACCTTTCAAATTAGCCAAACAATCTTGAGAAGACTAGAAGTAGAAGAGGTTTCTTAAGTTACATACCTTGTCTCTATTATAACAGTGTTAAGAAATTGCTTGTGCTAGAAGTCAAATTATGGTTGAACCATCCTTACAGAAGCAAAACTAATTTTTGGATATGTGTCAAATTAGTTAGGAGTGTTTGGTATGATAAGTTATGACAAGAAACAACAACCTATTGGAGTAGTCATGGCTATATTTGATTTAATTAATGATAGTACCAAATACTACTCAGTGGTGATATCAATATGACAGTACCTAATTTATGAAAGGAAAAGTTATTTGAATGCATATGGACCCTCCCAAAACCTGATATGGTTATTAACCTGTTGTTGTAACTTGTAAGTAGATAAAAAAATGGTAGGAGGCAAAAAGGTAAAGTGGATTGTTGTGAACTTGTGGTTAGAGTTCCAGGATCTGCTGCAGTTACATTGCTGTTTGTGTACTTGTGGTTAGAATACACATTATACTATTGCATCCTCATGGCTGAGTTGGAACCCAGGATCTCTGGTTAAACATGTATTGCAACTTCACCGACACTTCCCTTTATTCTCTCCTCAATTTTATATTTTGGTTTCATTGATGATAATAAACTATAGGTTTAGTATGAATTTAAGAAAAATAAATCTAATGGAAGCTTGGAAAGGGAAAGGTATATTATACTATCAATATGTTAATATACCATATACAATTGGTCATTTTGTTTCATTAAATAAATTTTGACTTTTGGATTTTTTGGTAGTGTTGAAACATGTCCATGTTCCAATATGTTGAATTTAAAAATTTCTCAAGTCCCACATTAATAGAATATCTTTTTGATTGAAAAAAACCATTTAGTTCTACATTGCTCATGTGAGAAATATTAACTACCTTACTTTATTATATAAGGAGTGCACATGTTTCATTCCAAATCACCAAAAACTATTCTATTAGTTTTTCCTTCCTCACTCTCATAACTCTACGTCTCTTGAATTGTCGAAGCGCCATCTTCTTCCCTTTTCTTCCTACTCGTTGAGTTTTCTGAGTATTTTCTTGAATTCTCTATAGAGAATTATGTTAATTTCTCCTCATTTGAGTTGAGAAATTTTCATGTTTAATCTTTTGGATTCTCTTTGGAGAACTATTTGAATCTTTCTTTGTTGGAAAAATTATTATGAGTGGTCAAATGACCATTATTAATTTCTCTTTGGAGAATTATTTGAGTTTCTTTTTATTTGAGAAATTATTATGACTGAACTTTGTACCAGATATTACGAGTGGTGTTGATACCATATTTGAATGGTCTTGTATCATTAGAGGGTGTATTTCTAGACTGATTATCTACCATGCAAGTAGTAATCGTACAATATAGAAATAGGTTGTTTTATCCCGGAGGCGGTGCGGTAGTGTATAATTTTGAGCAGTGCCGCGAAACGTCTTAAAGAGAGCGACCTAGTCCGTGACTCAACCTGATAATTTCTTCGGTGGCAAATATTTCAAAATTCGAAAACAACAATTTTAAGACGTTTCAAACTGCCATGACTATCGAAGAAATTATTAGTTCTTTTGCAGATATTGTCTTTGAGAAATCGTTCATGTTTGAGGGAAGTCACTTCAAACGTTGGCAACAAAAGATGAAGTTCTTAACGTTGAAAAAAAGTTGCTAACGTTCTGATCAATGACATTATGTTGCTCCTTCTGGATCAATCGAACAAACTAACGGTAATAAATCTGGAGATTTAGAAGGAACACTTAATAGTGTTGAAATTGAATCTCCTGCACTTTATAGAAAGAGAATGAAAATCTCTACAAATCATATTTTGAATAGACTCGTAGATGATCTGTATGATAATTATAATTGATGTGATACTGCAAAACAAGATTGAGAGACTCAAAAAAATAAGTATGACGTAGAAGATGGAGCAAAGAAGTATGTTGTTAGCCGCTACTTCAAGTATCAAATGCAAAGATGTAAGATCGATGGAGGCTCAATGTTACGAACTCAATATTGTGAACCAAATTAAGAATGGGAACCCTTCTATGATCCCAATAGCTCCAACTAGGAAACAACCACCACCTAAAAGAAATGACGTTGGTTTCCCTTTGTTTTAACTATGGAAAATCAAGTCATATGACTAAGAAATGTAGAAGTAAGCTTGAACTTGGAGTTGTCCCTAATGCTCAGGTCAACCTGACTAATGGGCAATTTATTGCTATAGTCATTGAAATCAACATGGTTGATGGATATGTTGGTTGGTGGATAGACATCTTTGTCTCTCGTTGTGTCTGTTATGATCGTGTTATATTTAAAACATACACAAATACTAAAGATAAGAAAGTGTTGTTGGGAGATGGCCAGACCACGAATGTAGCTGGAATTGTAGACATGGAGCTAAATTTCACTTTAAAAAAGATTTTAATCTTAAAGAACGTTATGCATGTTCCTAAGATTAGAAAGAATATTGTTTCTGGTTTTCTTTTAAATAAGACATAGTTTAGTCAATCTATTGAGATAGATTTGTACGTCATTAAGAAGAATGAAGTTTATATGTTTAAAATTTTTGTAAAGAATTTGAAAATGATATAATAAGAATTTATAGTGATAGAGAAACTGTATGATTCTAGTTTATTTATGAATTTTATACATGGAATTGTACATGAAACGACTGCACCATATTATCTTGCAATGAATGGTAAAGTAGAAAGAAAGAATAGAACTCTTACTGAACTTACTGTTGCAATGATGATGAATTCTGGTGCTGCACCTCACTAGTGGGGGGAAACTTTATTGACTGTTTGTTATGTCCTGAATAGAGTCTCCAAGTCAAAATTAAGATCTCTCTTTATGAGATATTAAAGAAAAGACAACCAAACTTGTCTTATTTGAGAACTTGGGATTGTTCGGCTTATGTCAGAATTTCAGATTTGAAACGAGTTAAACTCGCTAGTAGAGCATATGAATGTGTTTTTATTGGGTATGTAGCAAACAGTAAAGCATATAGGCTTTATGATCTAAAGGCAAAAGTGATCATAGAATCAAATGATGTTGAATTCTATGAAGACAAATTTCATGTCAAATTGAGAAATAGTGGGGGCACGCAATCGAGTCACATTCCTGTGGTAAGAAGCACAGAAAGCAACGACAATATAGAAACTGAACTTCGACGAAGTAAACGAGTAAGAGTTGCTAAAGACTATGGGCCTGATTATGCGGCTTATAATGTAGAAGAAGATCTAATGAATCTTCAAGAAGCCTTGTCATCTCTGGATGCTGATTTATGGCAAGAAGCTATCAATGATGAGATATACTCTCTAGAATCTAACAAGACATGGCACTTAGTAAACTTGCCTCCTGGTTGCAAACTAATCGATTGTAAATGAGTTTTGAAAAAGAAACTAAAACTTGATGGAACTATTGATAAATACAAGGCTCGCCTTGTTGCCAAGGGTTTTAGACAAAGAGAAAATATAGATTTCTTCGACACCTTTTCTCCTGTCACTAAAATTACATCCATTAGGGTACTTATTTCAATAGCTACTATTTATAACTTAATAGTACACCAAATGAATGTTAAAACAACTTTTTTAAATGGTGACTTAGAAGAAGAAATCTATATGGAACAACCGGAAGGGTTTGTGATCCGTGGACAAGAAAACAAGGTCTGTAAGTTAGATAAGTCTTTGTATGGGCTAAAACAAGCTCCAAAACAATGGCATGTAAAGTTTGATAACTTAATGATATCGAATGGGTACAAAGTGAATGAAAGTGACAAATGCGTTTATTACAAATTTGAGAATTGCATTTGCACTATTATATGTCTATATGTAGACAATCTACTCATATTTGGATCAAACATTCAGGCCATTAATGATATAAAATCATTGTTGTGCAACAACTTTGATATGAAAGACCTCCGAGAAGCGAGTGTGATTCTTAGTATCAAGATCACGAGATCCGAGCAAGGAATTTCTTTGGATCAATCACAATATGTGAAAAAGATCTTAAAGAAATATAATTACTTTGATAGTAAACCTGTGAGCACACCAAATGATCCAAGCGTGAAGCTGTTTAAGAACACTGGTGAAAGTGTTAGACAAACAAAATATGCGAGCATCATTGGAAGTCTTAGGTATTCTATTGATTGTACTAAACCCGACATTGCATATGTCGTGGGATTGTTGTGCGGGTTTACTAG